TCTGCCCTTCGCCATGCACAATTACCCAGCTGCAGGTGAACCAGGAGAGCTGTTTCCAATCCTGGAATGCCAAAACCAACATCCCCAGGAGGTAGCTGTCAGAATTAGGATAACAGCATCATAAACTAATAGATAACTGAATAATCCTTTACAATCAGACGGCTCCTTTCTCCTTTAGCTCTTTAATCAAGAAGAATGATTGCAACCTCCTCACACCCTGCATCTGTACCTCGAGTTTCCACTGAGCAAACAGTTTCTGTTCCTAACTTCTCTTAGTCATCCCACATTCCTTATTTGAATTCAGGAAGATATTCAACAAAATGCCTTACATTCATATAAGCATGTGAACAGCTGTGAACATGACCACAGCATGTTGATTCCATCTACCTTCCACTACTGCAGACTTTTTTTGAAAAGGGGGTTATTTGTGTGTGTGTTTGGTGGGAGGGTAAAATATACATAAGATCTACTATTTTAACCATTTTTAAGTGTACAATTCAGAGGCCTTAAGTACACTCACCAAACATTTAAAAATATTTAACAGTCGGGGATGTCTAGAATCTTCCTTTCTCTCACTCTATCTTACTTATCTTTCCATGATGACTTTGAAGACTAGCCCTCCTGGGAGGGGTCTGCCCAAGGAGCCACCTCTACCACGTACCCTGAATAGAGGCCCTGTTTATATAGGACCCAAAGAATACATAAGGTGACTTGGCCAAGAGAGATGTATCTGTGCTCAACCCATTTATCAAAGCTATTTTTCTGGGTTTACACAGGTTTTGTTTTGCTTTTCAAAGCTGGTTACTCAGAAATCAGCTACGCCTGCCAAACAGGATTTGGCTTCTCAGCCTTACCACCCCTCTTATAAAAAAAAGAAAAGGTTAAATTAGTGAATTAGTAGAACAAAGGCCCTCTGCAACTCCAGGCCCAGTTATCAGGACAGGATTGTGGTTGCCAAGGAGCCAGGGACAGATATGTATGCAGAGCTCTGGAGGACGCGACACACAAAGTATCATTATCTTGTCAAATGTTCTTCATGCTGTATCTGTTCCATCAGACACTTGTGTGTTCTGTGACCTTGGACAAGGTATTACCAGAGAGCTGTTTTGAGGGCAAATAAAATATCACCTGTCAAAGTCTCTAGTCCACTGCCAGGGGTATTGTAAGGACAAGATGAATATTCCTTCATGTACTTACAGTCTTCCTTTGCCCATAGATGGTCAGACACCCACGATTTAGATTTGCCTCATTTGAAATTAGTGACTCTTTGAAGACAAGTAATGACTCTATGGCATCTTACTACACTGATGGACAGTGATTGCAATGGGGTGGGAGCTTCGGGGGGCTTGATAATATGGGCGAATGTTGAAACCACAATGTTGCTCATGTGAAACCTTCCTAAGATTGTATATCAATGATACCTTAATTTAAAAAAAAAGAAATTAGTGACTCCTTGACCTGAGCAAACAAGTTTACCTCTGCATTGTTTAAAATTCTGGAATGTTAGTACATTGAAGCTCCAGCTTTGTGCCTCCCAGGGAATGAAAGGTAGAGAAAGCGTTCAAGTGCTGGTGGAACAGACCCATGTCCCAAGATCTGGAAGGGACAGATGGAGTTTATCTAGACCTTCCAGCTGGCCAACGTAGAAGTCCTTTCTACAGTTTCTGTGGCCAGAGCTCATCTTGCTCTGCCAAATCCTCGCTCTGATCGGAAGGGCTCAGCACCGTACACAGGAACTCCTCTTCCAGTTTCTGGCATAGGTTAGTTACTTATTGTGTTCTATAGCTGCTTAGGAAGAAAGGTTTTGCTAAGTTAAATAGTTTTGGTAAAATAGAATTTCCAAAATATTTCCAGGACTCAAATACATATTCACTGATCCCCTACATGTGCCAGGAAGCATCAGAGGGGTGGTAGGTGTAAAGATGAATGAAAGAAGAATAATTTCTGTCCTAAGAGAGCTCAGAGACAGATACACAGATTATCACAAAATAATGTAGTAAACACCTGATCCACAAGTGTACAGGCTATTACAGGAGCACCAGGGAAACACGTCAAATTCAGCCTAAAGGAAGCATTTTGCAAAGACTTCTAAAAAGTGAGGCCCAAGCTAAGACTTGAAGGAAGAGCCATATTTTGCAGGCTTAATGGACTTATGTGAATCAATGTTACTAATTTGAATCAGTTTTGTACATTTAAAAAACCATGTATAAGGGACATTTACATCTGAACTTGTGTTAACTGATCTAAAGTTACAAAATTATATTTTTAAAGAATTAACAATTTGGACTTTTTACTATGGATCATTGGACTTTCAAACTATATTCCAGGGATCCTAGGATTTTGGGGGGGATGGGAGAGTGTTGTTGGGTACTTTGGTCCAGGCAGTGCTGGAGGCTGAGCGGAGAGGACTGTGGACCCTCACCAAAGAGCTTTCCTGTTCTTGTTGTATTTATTTGTGTTGTGTGTAATTTTTTTTTCAGTTAGAAAAGGGCATTCTGATATTAAAATATGTTTCAGACTGTAAAGGGAGAAGCAGGTTTCATTGCATACTTGCCATCTAAGACCTATTTACTCAGTTGGGTACTTTAAGGCAAAGCACCAAAAAGCAGTCCCATCCCTAGTTATCTTTGCTTGTTCTGCAACCATGATCCTCGTATCTCCCCCTGGCAGCAACCTCCTAAAATAAAGAGGTAGATCTGAGAAAATCTATGACTACTCTGAAGAAAACGCCCTTAAGAATATGGCTTATCAATGGTGGGACAGTGGCATCTTTGTGTACAAAGGCAGCAAATTATAATTGTTTAGAACAAATCTTGATAACAAAATATCTTCCTATGGAGCAGGTTCATAAGTCTATTTGTAAGTCAATGCTTTAAGTAACATCTGAAATAATATTCTGGAACAGTGAATGAATGGAGAGTTCCTTCATGTTAATTATTTTGGGACTTTTCCAGCAGTGTACATTTCAAAATGCAAATATCTGTAATAATATTACACAGGATGAGAACCTGTTTTTCTAACAAGATTTTCACTTTTCAAATATATGTGCTTGCATCAAAATACACTGAATTATTTTCACAGCTCCTTTAGTGCCAGGGAAGATTTTCCTGAATCTTTGTATGATGACTATCCTCATGCATCATTATAAAGCTGGATTGAGAGAAGTAAATCTAGTCGCAGAGGAGAAGGAAGTACCCGATGGGCAGGCTCCCTGAGTCCTACTGGAAGCCCACTGGGAAACGAGAACAAGACCCAGACTGATGAACTGAATGAACTGAAATCTGAAAGTTATCTTGTTCTGATGAACAGCACACAAGTGGCCATTGCTTCTTAAATCCTGGCATTTTTCCTAGGAGCATCTAGAAAACTTTGAGTATGCCCACAAGGGGGAAGGAAAATAAGAAGATGCAACTGCTAAGACTTTCTAACTGAAACCTACTCCACCCATTGTGCTGGGTGGTGCCTCATTCACCTGCCACCAGGGCAAAAAGCAATTCTGCTTGTGGAGTAACACTCAGGTGAACCTGCAGTGGACCATCTGTTAGGGACAAAGTCAAGGAGATTTAGTTTTCCACTGCTAAGTTGTTTGCACTCATAACATGAAAGAACAAAAGGAACCTTATGTAACCTGTTTATGGATTTTCTAACCTGCTCATAAAGGCAACAAATAAGCTAGTCAGCCAGTTGACAGGGTTCAGGCAGGAGGAATGAGAATGGAGAAGAGCTCTGAGCAAGACCCAATAATATGCTGTTATTTTCCAGACTCACTTTTAATAAAAATACTTCCTTTATGGAAAACTCACTGCTCCTTGCCCTAATTAGTTTGGTTCATTTAGTAAGTCAACTTAAAATGACTTACAGTAGGCTCTAGGTCTAATTATTAAGAAATTACTATTATTTTTGTTAGGGATGATAATGCATCATCATATCATATGCATAGGGATGATATATATATATATATATATATATATATATATATA